ATCACCTCTGGAGTTCTGCCCGTCTCCCAGGGACTACTTGGGTGTAGTTGGACTGTACATCCTCTCCCACCACCCCCCAACTCCTTCCTATTCCCTTTCTCATACACACAGCGACTCAGGCCATTAAGTCCCCAGAATGAGGGAGTCGGGTCGCTAAATCTGTTGCTTCCTTCCCTCAGGGAACGCTCAGACCCTTGGTAGAGAAATATAGAGTGCCAAGATATATAGAAAATAAAGCAACGGGGTGGTTCTGGTAGAGGCTAGATGAAGGGTTTGCTGGCGGTGCGGTTGGGGAGAAGGGAACCCCACTCTTCTGAGCTTTAAGTAGCCACAGTAAGTCTTATATGTAGGGTGTGTTCTGATCTCCAAGAGCTCCCTGAAATTCTGTGGGAGAAGCTGAGTGGGACCTGTGGGAGAATCGTCAAGGCTCCAGAAATCAGCAAAGCGAGAGCAGATGGACCGCTTGTGCACACGTGTGCATGTGTGTGTGTGAATGCATGCGTATATATGAGTTTATGCACATGTATTTGTGTTTGTTATATGTGATTAAATATGTGTGTGACTATATTTGGGAGTCTACCTGTGCCTTCAGGAGTGAGTGGCCTGAAAAGTAAAGTTGTTGAAAAAGTTACCTGGTGTTTCTATGTAGGATGATGGAAGCTAGGTGGTGCAGTAGATCTGAGTTCAAATTCGGCCTCAGACACTTACTAGCTGTATGACCCTAGGTAAGTCACTTCACCCCTATCTGCCTCAGTTCCTCATCTGTAAAATGGGGGCACACTGGAGAAGGAAATAGCAAATCACTCCAGTATCTTTGTCAGGAAAACTTCATGGGCACGTCCATGGGGTCAGAAGAGTAGCACACAACTGAACAACAAATGTATGATGAGACAAATAAGTTTTTTTAGGCGTTTTGAGTATGAGTGTGTATGTATTTGGTGGGAAATTATGCTTTTCGGGTTTCTAGTAGGAATGTATGTGTTTCTTCTAAGGGAAGAAAAAATTATAATGGGCCTGAGTGTGTTTGAGGAATATGCAGAAGGGATTCGGGACATTAATGTGAGTGAGAGTATACATGTTACGGGTGTGTTTGGACAGACGAAGGATGTCTAACGAGCCTACCTTGGGTATTCGTAAAAATACGGGTTTCTCTGGTAGAAGAAAGAAAGATAAGGCAAGACAGAGAAAGAGTCTGACTGACTTGTGCTGGTGTGGTTGGGGGGGGTTGAAAGTGTAAATGTGTGTGTATGTGTACTCAGACAAATGTGTGTGTGTGTGTGTGTGTGAGAGAGAGAGAGAGAGAGAGAGAGAGAGAGAGAGAGAGAGAGAGAG